GGAACTGAAAAACTCTCATTTCCTAGTTAAAAGTTTTCTCTACTAATATTCCACTTTTAAACTAGTTAATTCACAAGATACTTATAATAAGCTATTAATGATACAAAGGTTTCTGCAGCAACAATTATTCCATAAATTAATTTTTATAGATGAGTATTGATCTCTATACTAATTCAAAACTTATTTAAATTATATTTTCTATACTGAATAGCTATCAGCTCTTATTTCTTCTATGAATTTCAACAGAAGAAACAAAGTAAGTCTGACATAATTGACCCCAAAAACGAACACCTGTTTTACACTATTTTATTTTTAAAAAAGAAAGCTCTGTTATGGTTTTATTATTGAAAAAGTTTTTAATGCATGAGGATGGATAGATTTTTTTTCAGTAAACTAAATACATGCACGAAACTGAAATTATAACAAACCACAAGAAGATTAGAACTGTAGAGTATCTGGCTAATAACTGAAGAAACCTGGCTGACGTCCTTTCAGGTGCTGTGACCCATACAGGAATTCCTATTTCAATAAAATAAGGTTTCTTATGAATGTCTGTGGTCCATTTCTAAAGCAAACTGAGGGAAAAGGAAAAAAAAGAGCATAGGGATAAATGGATGAATTTTCATGTTCTGTTGTTGCTTTCTTTTTTTTTTTTTCAATGATACGCTGATCCTTGGCAGGGAGAAACTCAGATAATCTCTGAGACCCAGGACAAAAAAGCGCTTCCAGCACTTCTAAAATGTCAACATAGTCTTAAAGACTTTGCTACATTTGCACAATACCAAACATATGGACAAGAGAGAAAAGCAGAACCAGCAGATTACTGACAGAGAATTAGGAAATACTTTAAAGGGAGGTTAAAACCATAAAGAAAGAAAGAAAAAAATGAAACAACCTAATAATTTACAGAAAATTTTAGAAAGCTGAGCATCCTATTTTGAATTCTAAAACATATTTGGCAATGGAAGATTACTAACTCGATTCACTAAACATGCATATCCTTGCTTTGCAGGTATATAAAAAACATACTACTTTGTTCTCTTTCATTTTCATGCTTCAGCTACTCACTTTTGACTGAATCACTGCAAAGGCATTTCATTATAGTAAGATCTGCAAAAGCATTCACAACTTCTCATCAATTTTCAAAGCAATTTAATTACATTAAAACATTGTCTGGTGCAATAAAGAAATGCCATGAAACCTGGAGTAATTTAAAACTGTCTTACATTGCCATCAGATGTTGGTTTATCTATTATCACCTCTGGCAGAAGTTGTCCAGTAGGCGACAACAGACCTGGTGGTCCATCCACTAAGGAAACCACTCCATTGCAATCCACAGCACTCTGCATCTTCCCATTCACTGGAAATGCTGTCAGCCTTCTTGATGATTTACTGGCCTGACTGATGTTACTGCTGCGCCGTTCACCGTGTCTGCACGGCAAAAACAGAGAACCTCTTCTGCTCGAATTATCCTCAAATGTGCTGTGCTCATCATCAGCAAACTCATTTTCAGATCCTCTCTCCCTTCTGTATTCTCTAAAACTGAAAAGGCTTGTTCTGCTGCTACGCCTGGGAGAAAACAGGGAGCCACGAACACTCAGCAGAGACTGCAAAGGAAACACAAAAAACTGACCATCTGAAGATTTCAAATATAGAAAATGCATGTCTATGTATTAAAAAATAATAATTTATATTCCCCAGGAATCTGTCAGTGTTATCTCTAATACAGTGCCTCAGTCAGATCTCAGAGATGCATGAGAGATGAAAGTCATCTGAATGGGTAAATTTACAGTGTACCTAAAACAATAATTGGAGAGAAAAAATTTAACAGGTATCAGGTCAGAGTACTTTCATCTGCTTCAAAGAGAAAAATCGAGATTTGTAGAAATTCTAATGATCCACATAGATCACGCATTAAGTTAAAGATATCAATACCCTTAGTCTTTTACATTCAAACATTATACTTTAGTTTTCCTTTTATGAATCAAGAAGATATTTCTATTTTAGATTAACTAGGAAAACACAAGGCTTCTGTGCATGGTAAGACCCACTAGGTCCTAAATATATGGATATGACGGTTATGTCACAAGTTTCAAAAATGACAACTGCACTATTCACAGTACCTGGTGAGGTGATGTAAATGGTTTCCCATAAGTAAGTCTGTTCCCATCAAAAGAAAAACGGAAACCTTTACTTTTGATACTTCCATCTGATTCAGATTTTGAAAGCTTTATGTCATTTTCTTCTCCGGAGAGCTCTCTCTGCTTTCTTTTCTTCCTTCTATTTCTCCTTTCTTTGGCACTTTTTGAGCTAAGTTTGGATGCTTCTGAAGAAGTATCTGAGGGTCCAGCATTCCCACTTTCACCACTGTACTCAGTCATCTCTGCTGCAGCTATTGCCTGCTACAGCAATTATTATTTAATGAGATGCTTTACAAATCACACAATTTTTAAAAGAAAAATACAGTCCTTGTTCCTAAGATTAATAGCCCTCATTCCTAAAATTTATATCAAATGACATTCTGTAATATAAATGGAGTTCTCCTTTGCATCCATATTGAGACAGATCACACTGTCAACAGCCACAAAATGTTTCAAAATGAATAAAAATATTAATTAGAGTGAATGCAATGGTAAAAAAAAAAGAGCTAATCAGAGTCATACTTCAGTCTGTATTAATTTAGCAAACCAATTCTATCTTTTTTCGTAAGTAATAACAGTTTCCTTAATCTGCATTTAAGAAACAAACTTTGAGGTACTGCTTCCAGTCTTTGATTCATTGCTAGTAACACAAGTAGCAAAATTTAGTCAAAAACTTATTAATAAAAATATTGTACACTCTAATAAAGGCCTGACAAGTATTGAAAATATTTCTAAGCTGAGAATTTGGAAAATCATCATGACAAGTTACTAGATATTATCCCCAGATAAGAAATATTTATTTTAAAACTATTATTTTGATTTGGAGAGTACTTTTCATTCTCAGTTCAGAAATTCATTAATGCTTTAGATATTATACCTTTAAAAAAAAACCACAATAAAGAGCCATAGAGAAAACAATCTTAAGTACTTTAGAGGTTTGTTGAAGAATGGGTTTTTTTTAATATGTGAATTTAATTATTGGTTTCAACAAATAGCATGCAGGGGAGTATACTAAAGCCCAAACTCTTGTTAGAAAATACCTGAGCTGCTTCTTGCTGCTTCCTCAGCTGTTCAAGCATCAGCTGGAAGTCTGCCTCCCTCTGCTCTGCTTCAAAGATAGTTGCTTGATTTTGTTCTTCATAGGCCATGGCAACCACAGCCAAAATCAAGTTAATCAAATAGAAGGAACCCAGAAAAATCACCACAACAAAAAATACCATGTATGCTGTGCCAGCAGCTCGTAGCGTCTGTAGGAGGAGAGGAGAAATGATCCTTCTGGTGAAGACATGCATCAATTCTGCAGTTCATAAGCATTAATGAATTTGAAAAGTGAAAACTAAAACTGAGTTATTTTTCCTCTGTAGTAAGATCATACGAGCTTTCTGAATTATAAAGTAACCAAAACAAAGGGAACATTCATGTATCTGGAAAACGTGTTTTAGGATTGTGCTCTTCTGAGACAAACCTCTTTCAATGCCTAATAACCTTGAAAAGGATGTGGGATCAGAGTTATTAATGTAAACCAAATAGCACAGGTTGCATGCTTAGAATGTTTACCACATATTAGCATGCTTTCCATTTGAAATAAACAAAACAGTTAAAAATGTCACAATTGTTTAGATAATTAGAAGGTAATATTTCTTATAATTGAAACATTCTCACACATCATATAATGAAAAGCTATGGTAAGAAAATTAATTTATATCAAGACATGCATTCTGAGCTATCAGAAACAAGATTAAAAGTACAGAAATTAAGAGTCAGATTTTGCTGTAATGGAGTATTTTTACAATATAAACTCCATTACAGCATTTTTGAAAATATCTTATCATGCAGCACAAAATCTAATATACACTGTAAAAATTACATTAAGGATCAAAAAAATCCTTATGGGTCTCTTCAAAAATCATATGAGATTCTCTAACGAGTGTCCATGTCTGCTCAATCCTGCAACTGAATTTGCTACCTTAAATGATTTTCAATTGTTAACAACAGCAGTGGTGTGTAATATCAACAAGAATAGCCTTTCCATTATTGATTTGGGGTCAATAAGACACTAATCATATTTTTTATTACACACTCACCAACTGATAAAGATTTTCCCAGCCATCCTGTGTCATCAGTCGAAACAGTGACAAGAAAGCCCAACTGAATGTATCAAAGCTAGTATATCCATAGTTGGGGTTTCTACCAACTTTCACACAGATAAACTGTTCTGGACATTTACTAGGAGGCAAAAAAAAAGAAGAAAAAGAGGTAAAGCAATCCATATACAAATATCATATAACTTTTTTTTAAATTGTTGTGCCTTGAGCTTCTAAGTAAGTTTCATCTGTAAAGGGTGTTGTTTTTTATGGCTTAATGAGGAAATTAAAAGACTATTCTTTAAAAAAAAAAAAATCCAGGAAGAGCAAACAAGTAAAAAAAAATATTTCTTCTTACCCCCTTTCATTATACACAAAATAAAACTTATTCCCAACAGTTTGGTATTAGCTCTGCAGATACCTCTTCAATTAAAACAGTATATTTACTTAACATAGAGATCTCAAGAGGCAGATGCTTCCATGCAGAGAAAAGAAAGCATGTGTATTTTATGCTGAAGTTCATCTATCAGCAAGGCTGGCACACCAGATTTCTGGATTTCTTCACATTTGTGAATTAGTAAGCCTAATTTATGAATTCTACCGATTCCTCAACCACAAATAACACGCACAGGGATGTTTTTATCCCATGAAACTGTACATATCAGTTTTGAGAGTAGGTGATCCAATCTGTGATTCTATTCTTGAAGGATGGAAAAGGTTCCTAACTCCATAGGTACTTTACTCTATAGAAAAACGCTACGAAGATTTCTTTTCACAGATGTGTGTGTATATTTGATGCATACTTACAGACACATAAAATTATCTCATAGTTACATATATGAACTAAATGGCTACAAAAATAGTTTAAGTATACATTTTAAAGCCATGACCAACCGAAACCAAGGGATGGACTGATATACCATTAGCATACAGAATTGTGTGATTCTGTTACAAATAACTGTCCCAAAGAGAGAGCAAGACAATGTCATGCATGCAGCCCCCCAGACAGAAGAAACTTGAAGGTGTCCTCCCTGAATCTGGTCATAAGTCTCAGTGCCCCATGCCTATTTTAGACTTGAGAAATTGCATACAACCTATGATAAAGAAGTATGTTCTTAAGCTACTGATAACACAATATCTAAGCTTAGACTGATATTTTTTAGATGTTTAGACATGTAGTATGTCATTTTCAGTATACCTTACCCTGCATCTGTGCTATTGCCACAAAGCAGACAATCCTTTGCTCCTTCTAGGCGATAGAAGTGACCTAAAGAAAAAAATTAGAAGTGACATGTTTACAAATGGAAGGAGTTGTTGTTTTGGGTTTTGCTAGGTTCAAATCATCATGCTTTGAATGTTCATAATCTCCCATCCATGTTTTCCCAATAATGGGTTCAAATATTGGCACAATCCCAGAATCACAGAATGGCTTGGTTTGAAGAGACCTTAAAGATTATCTGGAAACACTGGAGGTTTCAAACACCCCTGCCACGTGCAGGGATGCCACTTACTAGATCAGGGCCCCATGCAACCTGGCCTTAGACACTTACAGAGACGGGGCATCCACAACCTCTCTGGGTAACAAAATAAAAACACCATGCAAAAATAAAATCCTAGAACAATGATTAAACAGCATAAATTGCATATTCTCTTCTTGAGCCACTGCACACTGGATATCTTTCCAAAATACAATTTCCAGTGACTGAGAGAAAGAAAACACAAAACTTAAAACTTCTCTTATTCAGCAGGTAGCTTGTAATCAGAAAATTATAGCTTATCTCATTTAAAATGGAACTTTCTAATGGCTGGCTGACAGTTTTGAAGTCAGAGCAACATTAACTAGGACATTCTGTAACTGAAAATATGAAGGCAGCATTTAAAAAGAAGATGGATGTTCCAATGACAATAACAGCTGCTGTACTATAAAGAACTTTGCAAAATTTTTCTTTTAATTATAAGGGGGGAGCCTTCAGAAATAAATAAATATATTTTGCTGATAATGATTAACAATTGTGCTATCCTCAAAATAAAATTAAAAAAAAAAAAGAAAAGAAAAGAAAAAATAGAGATGAAAAGATGGTAATAAATCAAGGAAGAAGTTCATAGAGGGCAGGCCCCATTCAGAGGGACCTAGGCAGACTGGAGGAACAGGCTGACAGGAGACACATAAAATTCAGCAAATATAAATGCAGCCGTGCACCTGGGAAGGGAGAGCCCCTGCAGTGACACAGCCTGGGAACTGACAAGCTGATGAGCAGCTCTGCACAAAATGCCCTGAGACTTTAGTTGGACAGAGAGCAAGGTAAGGCTGAGCCAGCAGTGTGCCCTGGCAGCCTGGAGGGTCAACAGCCTCTGGGGCTGCACGGACAGAAGCCCAGCTTGCAGAGTGAGGGAAGTGACTGTCCCCCTCAGCTCTGCACTCATTAGACTTCTCCTAGAGAACTGTGTCCAGGTTTGGTCCCACAGTGCAAGACTTTGATAAAATGGAGCAAGTGCAACAGAGGGTCACCAAGGTTGTGAGGGGGCTGGAGCGTTCCTTGGAGAGACCAAGGAACCCAACCATGTTCACCAGGCAAAAGGAAGGCTCTGGGGCGAGTTGGTTGAAAGCATTCAGAAACTACAAGGAAGTTATCAAGGGGATAGAAACAAGTTCTGGTGCTTAGCAGAAGAATGACAGACAACAGGCATAATCTGAAACAAGAGAGGTTCTGACTGATAACCAGACACTGAAATCTGGAAAAGAGACAGAAATCTGGAAAAAAACCTCTAATCTCAACTAAATCAATCTGCTGTCATCCTCAACTGATGTCATCAACATACCTTTTAAGCTGACAAAGGCTTTGATTTTCACAGGGTAAAAAGCTATTGTAGTATTTAAATAGTCAGAAACAGCCCATGGGATAAATAATATAAGAACATAGGAGGATTCTAAACTGAACACTTAAATCAAATATAGTGATGCCAAAATCCTACCATTAAAGAACAGTACTTATATAAATGTTAGAAAAATTATAATCCTATTACTTCCCTAATAGCTTTAGAGCTGGTCAAAACTCAGATAATGACCTAAATGCCAGGTGCCAATTCTTTGGCACATGGATCCAAGATCTGAGCCTGTATTTTCAAAAAGCAACTTTGGTCTTGTTTCTTAATAAATGAAAATGCACATGTGTTTAAAAAAGTCACAAGAGGATAGCACACTCAGTCACAGTTGACCAGAATATGATATACTGGAAAAATATTGGAAGGACCCACAATTGAGCCCAGTGACACTATATTGCAATGGCACTGTATTGAGTGCATAGTATTAGCAATAGTAATATGAGAAAGGAAGAACAAAAACACAGCAAAGTCTAACAGCCTTGCCTGCATCAGCACTCTGTAGAGACTCACAGTAAAGTGAACAGAAGCAACTGACATTCTGGAAAATTTCATTTCTTTAAATTGCTACTTAGTGGGAAATGGAAATAGAGAATATATATAGTATGTCTGAAGAGAGAATTCACAAGTGTTCTACAGCACATAAACCATCAGCCAAAATTACCCACAAAGTATTCCACCATTCCACTTTCCGAACCCTTCTTAGGCAAATAAACTAGTTAAAATTATAGATTCCACAGAAAACGTAAATAGTCACAATATTTCAAAAATTCAGAAGTATAGAAAAAAATCTGAAAACACAGAAAATAACAGAGAACTTTAGTGTTCAGTGTTAAAAAAGGAAGAAAATACGATTCATCAGAACTCAGCCTTTAACAACCGCATTTTCCTTCACTTTTGGGTCAGGAAAACGGAAAGCTAGCATTATTTTATCAATTTCTCTTTAGTTAAATACACTACTTTTACAATTTATTACTGACCAATACCCTGTAAATCCACTTCCGGCACAAACTGACACAAGAAAATTAACCAAATTTTCAGCAAAACTATTATATTACATCTCACAGTTCATTGTGTATTGTAACACTACGGATGTTATCTCTTAAAATACACAAAGCACAAAAACACAAAATATTAATATTTGTGTGCTTCTAAAGCAGCCTGAATGTTATCACTTCAGTCTACTGACATTGAAAATGTTCAAAAATATCCTGTTAAAGATGCCTTTGCAGCCCCCTGAGCAACAAGTCCTACAGACAAATACCCCCTCCTTTCCTACCAGAATCTCTGCTTGCCTAATGAGTTATGTATTTCAATCTCAGAAATTGGTTTGTTACCTCTACCTAATAATAAAAATACATCTTAAGTAGGAAAATCTCTGATATTTATCTAGTGCTTCTCTGTCTTAAAGATACTAGACGAGCCAAAAAGAATTGGTTTTGTTTAGCCTTGAGAAGGCTGAAGGTGGGGCAGGGGAGCTGGGAGATGTGAGGATCTCCAAGGTACCCACAAGCATAACATCAAAGACAGTAATTGAAGATGGAGCCTGACTCTTCTCAGGGGTGGATACTGGAAAAATAAGAGGTGACTAGCAGAAGTTTGAGAATGGGAAATTCTGAATTGATATTGAAATAAGTTACTGTGCAACTAGTCAAACGCTGGAACAGGCTGCCCAAAGCAGCTCTGCTATCTCAATCCTTAGAGACACTAAAAACTTGACCTGACAAGGCACTGATCTAACTGGACCTGCAGCTGAGCAGCAACTGGTCAAGACTGTGGAGATCCCGTCCAGCCTATGTGATTCTAAAACCAAAGTAACCCTATAAATACATTTTTAAGTGCAGTTAATGGAAAGAACAATCATATCAGCACAAGTTTGGGATATATCACATACAAACCCCCAGTCTTTGCCATCCTATTTAAATGGGTTTTTATCTTTAGTCTGTAGTATGAAACAGTTAACTTGTGCTTGTATGTAAAATTTTCACACAAAAATTTTAGCAAGTTACAGCAATATTTCTTACTTTCTTCCTTAATGTATGCTCCCCAGTCAAATTCTGTACCATTAAAGTATGGAACTACGTATTTTTCAAAAGCTGTTGAATTTTCTGACGGCCAGAACAAGCATTTATTCTTCAAATTGCCCATAAACAGCTGCAATCCTATTAGTGCAAATACACTCAGGCAAAACACAGTCAGGATCATCACATCTGAGAGCTTCTTCACAGACTGAATTAGGGCTCCCACAATAGTCTTCAAGCCTGCAAACAGAGACAGATTTTTGTTTTAATACTGAATATTTACCCAAGTTAAAATGCAATGCAAACACTACTAATTATCATGCACAGCTTCACAAAAAAAGTCTTTTTTTCACAAAAAGATTTTCCAAAGGAAGAAATACCAGTAAGTCTCATCATTCCTGAAAGATTAATTTGAAAATAATATATAAAGGGGGATGAATGTCACACATTCCAAAACACTTGCTCTTGAAATGAAGAACTTTTAATTTATGCTCTCAATATGTGTAAATTATACCTAAAGAAAACAGTTCATTTCATTTGCTTTTTGATGCCTCTTGCTCCAAACCTTTACCAGTGTTCCATTCCAATATACAATATATTGGTTCTATAACAGCAAACAAAAAGAGAGCACAATTGTATTTCAGTAGTAATTATAATGTCTGCATTCTAATGCACCCTATTCTACTGGAGGTGGAGTTTGGTTAAGATAGGCATCCATAAGCTAATAAATATGTCATGCCATTTCCATGCTACTTTTCATTATCTTATTCCTTTAGGATTCAAATTTTACAACACACTAAAGTTTTCAATCTTTCATAAATAGTAACATTTTTATTAGTTAGAGAAAAATATAAAGAATTAATTTTGATCCTTAATGCGTGAGAGAAAACTTGACATCACAAAATAGAAATATATATAGGCTATGTAAAGGAGTTTCCTATGCAACAATGTATTAAACTCTGAGGCTGAGTGTTTTAGAGAACTAGAAAAGGGAACGAAAATGAAGTTAATACTAAAACGTGGATGCTTCTCTTAAAAACATGAGTTCAGATTCTGTGGAGTTTCAGTCAGCCTCAAGTATTTAACCTCTCTCTCACCTGGAATGACTGATATTATTTTCAATGTTTGGAGAACTCTGAATGTTCTCAACGCTGAGACATTGCCCAGGTCCACAAACTCTGTCACATATCCGTAGCGAGGCATTCCACACACAAACACAATGACAGCACACACAAAGTTAAACAGAGGTGACACAGAGTGCCTACCACTTTACACAGTTACTTCTTACCTGGAATTACAGAAATAGTTTTCAAAGCTCTCAATACTCTGAAAGTTCGAAGAGCTGACACATTGCCCAGGTTTACAAATTCTGTTATATACCTGTAGGATTAAATCACAGTTATTCAGAATTAAGGTAGAGTGTATACTACCTACCTGGATCTGTAATCCAGATTTTTTTTTTGAAGGAACAAGTTTAAATTAAAAACTTGCTTTCATATTTTCCTGTTTCAATTAAATTTACCCTAAGAAACACACCCTTAAGCTTTTCCACTAAATGCAAATTTAAAATGAGATGTATATTGCTGATTTTATTTCTTAAATACTACTTAATATCGTTCACCAGTAACTTCTCTTTTGTGCTGTGGGATAGCTCACTAATTCTGTTATGTGCTACATTAAGGTAAAATATTAAAGGGGAAAAAATTGAAACACAATCCAACTACAATTAATTTCAAATTAACTAACATAAGCAAAACAAATTATTACAGGCTCAAGAAAACTTCCAACATTTTACTTAAAAAACCACTATATACTTACGCTAAGGAAATGACAATAAAATCAAGCCAGTTCCAGGGGTCACGAAGGCAAGTAAAATCATTTATACAGAAGCCACTTGCAAGGACTTTCACTAGAAATTCAAAAGTATAAATTCCAGTGAAAGTGTACCTGTAAGAAACATTGAGGCAAAAGTTAGACTGTTGTGTTGTTCAGTGATACATCACAGGAAAATAGCTCAAAACCTGTGATAAGTACATGCACCAAAACAGCAGTTACAAACTTGCATAAACTATGACTGTTTTTCCGCCATTTTTCTGTAAGATAATTGAATTATTTTTATTTTGTCTGAAACATATTTTTGCCGTTCCTAGCATGTAAGTTTTTGAAATTTCAGCACTAATAATAATAATCACGACTAACACGAAAAAATATTTTTGTTCAAATAAAAATTTCAGCATGGTTGCCATGGTTGTCAGAAATAAATTCCATGGATAAGTGGAACCTACTATTTACTAAAGATACTTGATGGTTGAGCAGATAGATTTGAGAATGTCAAACAATAATCCCCAGCAGAGGTATTTTCTTTAAAGAAGTTGTGTCCTATTTTTAAAATTTCATTGTAGAAAATTAAGGTTTCAAAGGGTTTATAGAAAGTATCTTCTGTACTGAAAAGCAGTAGTTTTGTCTGTATTCTTTTTCCTTTTTTTTTTTTTTTTTAATGATAAAGGAACAGCTCAGGAGAGAGAATGCATAAGAACATTATTTGTACAAATATTCTGATGAAAAATATTTATCAGTGTTTCTTTCAGAGAAAAAGACTAACAATGTCACAGTTTCTTTCCTTCGCAGAGCTTGCAGGACTCTGCTGCTTTGAGTTGCAGCTGGGACCAAACTCCAAGTAAGAAGGTGGTATTACATAGAAGGGTAAGTAAAACTACATGGTCTAGTTCTTAATTTGCTTTTCATTTTTAAACCACTTTAAAGATTATGAGCCAATTTAAGTATACTTACTCTACAATCTTCATCCATTCTGGAGGTTTAGCCCATGTCATACATACACAGTTTGCCATAATAGTGAGCATAATGAGACTGCTGAACCATGTTGACTGTAGTTAAGGAACATCTCCTTTTAAAAGCTGAATTTGTACAACATAAAATATGAGGAATTGACAGGTCATAGAATATTGACACCATATATGATACAAATATAGTACAAATCAGTTTACTATCACTAGCAATGTCAAAAGTAATGCAAAGATATTTCATAACAATGATGGTTATACACCTATCAAGAAATCATTTAGGTTGGAAAAGACCTCTGAGACCATCAAGTCCAACCTTTGACTGATCACTTGTCAACTAGACCATCGCATGAAGTACCACATCCAGTCACTTCTTGAACACCTCCAAGGATTGTGACTCCACCACTTCTCTGGGCAGCCCATTCCAATGCCTGGCAAGCCCTTCCATGAAGAAATTCCTCCTGATATCCAACCTGGACCTCCCCTGGCACAACTTGAGGATATATCCTCTCATCCTGTCATTAGCTGCCTGGGAGAAGAGGCCGACCCCCATCTAGCTACAATCTCCTTTCAGGCAGTTGTAGAGAAATATAAAGTCTCCCCTGAGCCTCCTTTTCTTCAGGCTAAACACCCCCAACTCCATCAGCTGCTTCTCACAGGACATGCGCTGCTCCCGACCCTTCACCAGTTTCGGTGCCCTCCTCTGGACCTCACCATCTTTCTTGTACTGAGGGCCCAGAACTCGAGATGTGGCCTCACCAGTGCCGAGAACAATCACTGCCCTAGTTCTGCTGGCCACACTATTTCTGATGCAAGCTAGGATGCCAGTGGTGTTTTTGGCCACCTGGGCACAGGTTGGCTCATGTTCAGCTGCTGTCGACCCCCAGGTCCTTCTCCACTGAGCCACTTTCCAGCCGCTCTTGCCCAGCCCGTGTCCCAATGGAATTATTGTGGCCAAAGGGTAGGACCTGGCACTTGGTTATGTTGAACCTCATGCTGTTGGTCTTGGTCCATCTTAAGCATGTCCAAATCACCCTGCAGAGCCTCTGTATCCTTCACCAGATCAACATTCATACCCAGCTTGGTGCCATCTGTGAATTTAGTGAATTTATTCAATCCCTCATGAAGATCATCAATAAAGATATTAAACAGGGCTGGGCTCAGGACTGCACCTTGGGGAACCCCACTAGTGACTTCCTCTGAATTTAATCAGCAGCTTATAGTGACAAATCTTAGCTCTGACTGACTTTGAGAGAAAGGAATTAAAGGCAGGAACACATTTAAACACTAAACCAAAACCACTAGTGTTAATAATAGTAAAATTCATCAATAACAATTTTTAACAAACCACTGGAAAAGGATATGAATGAACCAAAATCTTAATAGCTTTTCTTCTAATAACATGGAAAGGAGAGAAAAGGTACAAGGCAGGTGTGGCACTGAACCTGTGGATTTTCTTCTCTTTATTCAATACTATAAATGTCTTTGAAAAACAGACAAAAAGGGCATGGGGGAAGTAGGATAGGAAATAGGAAATTAAAGACACATATTAGCAATCTTGCCTTTATAGGGGCTGTACTTACACAGATCTAAGTAGCCACTAAATTTGTTTTCAGTAGAATTATACAAGCAAATATCAGATTCTAAATTTTCACATGAACCATGAACACTCTACACCATGCATTCCTTATTTCTGTGCTCTTAAACAAAATCTGCATGCCAGCATTTTCCAGGATTAGGTAATTACATTAAAAATATAATTTAAAATATGTCACTTTTCACATTTAAATTTAATGCAGCTCTATTACTTGTACTTTAGATCAAAGCTGTCAATGCAAATTAAAGGCCCTAACTTACCATTTTTGGACACTCATGACCAAATATTTAACCATTTCAGCATGTTAAAACTGCCTCTCAGTTGAGACAGCCTTCCTTTTTTAAAGGTTTTATGGCCTCTATTGCCTGTGCTTTCCTCACTAGTACCATCCATATAAGCATTTTTGATTTTGACTTGGAAACACAATGAAAATGTCATCTAATGAAATCTTAATCCTTATGATTTTAACATCTTATGATTATTCCCCCCAAAAGCCTAATATCTGGAAACAGGCAGGTTATAATGCTGAATCTTGCTGTATCCTAGTGATATGTTATTGTAAAAGGAATAGGTCATTTGTCAGCAGTATTCACAAAGTTGAGAGAACAAAACCTAAAATAACAAAAAATCTACACCTGATTATTAATCTTCAGCATTCTGTACTAGAAAAAGGCCACTGCTTTAACTAAATTGCTTCTTACAGAGATAATACAGTTCTTTGATCAATTTCTTACTTGCGAGATACTAATTTGTTGATTATCTATTTCAAGAAACTGCTCTATGTTTTCAATTTAAAAAGCATTTTATTGATTTACACAATAAAATAACCACTTGCTGCTTACTTTGTACTGTCTTTTTAATGTAAACTCAACTTGTTTGCTTTCTGGACATTTCACTTCACATGCCTACATAAAAGTATGTTTTCTTCATCTTACATGCCAAAGTAATCACCTTGCTCTTTTCTTTTGTTATTATTGTATCTACAAAAGAAACTGAGTCATTACGCATAAATGTATATATATCATTTATATATATAACATTTGCTTATATATATTTTATATATATGAATTTAATTAGAGTTTATATATATTCTATATATTTTTATATATTTTATATATATAATTTTTTAATATATAGGTTTATATTGGGCCTATAACATAGATCCAATATTAAAACTTTTTTTTTTTTTTTACTTCTGTAAAACAAATATTTCCATGATATTTCAAGGACTGTTTGACAGTGATTATTTTGGCATGTGACTGAATAAGCATTTTGTCCAAAGACTACCACAATGAACTAGATCTCAGGGGCTTTTCTGAAAAAAAAACAAATAGAGAACAGCCAGACAGTGGGGAAGTTTTCAAATCCACTAAGTAAAATACAATAACATTAGATGTTAAAATAAAACTCTTAAAAAAAAAAAAAAAAACAACCAAAAAACCAACTTAAGCAAGTTGAAGTCAGTTGTCTTTATAGTGTAATTAAAATAATTAACATGATATCACCTCCTGCAAAATACTTTCAATGAGGGCTTCTGATCACCTCCCCACCAGAGCATTTAACCCTATATAGTTCAACAGGAGTGTTCTAATTACACTCTTAATATAAAATACTTACTTTTTTATTGATGTAATATGGGTCCAGGTCCTCCAGGGGCTCAGACACCATTCCTGAAGGAATATCACCATAAATAAATGGCAGTATCTTTCCTGCCTCCAAGTCATTACTTGGCTTTGGGCGATTTTCTTCATGACCACCATCATCTTTAGGCTCATCTTTGTCACAACGAGATATTTCATCAGCAATACGTTTTTCAATAGCTGCAAGAGATTCCTTGGTGAAATAGAAGAAGCTTTCAGGTCCTGGCGGTACCAGCATTGCCCGTGCCATCTTTTCATTCTGCAAATTTTAAATGCTTCTAGGCTCTTGTGCAAGAAGATCCTGAGAGAACAAGGAGAAAAAAAACAAACAACAGAAAATAGAGAGCACCACCACCAAGATCCTCACATAAAAGTTTTTGGCATAGTCATAATCTGCCCCTTTTCTACTTATAAAGCACCGTAGCAAGAAGTATTTCAATTAATTGTCAGATACTTAACAGAAAAATAGCTACCAGTAACAACAGGGCAAAGAGAAGTTATGATGTAACAAAAAAAAACCAAAAAAAAACCACAAAAAATCAGATTTGCATATAGTTAGTTACAGCTCAGGTTAATATCTCATAAGAAAAAGGAAAAACCTTCTCACTTTCCCTAGCCTAACATTGTTACCTTATAGTGATAATGTAAGAAATAGGATAACACAGCTAAGTGCTGCAGTGAGTGGTTACAATTTCTAAGACATGGATTTATACATTGTTGGCACAGTACCTTAAAAAAATCTTGTCACATATATTACAAAAGTAGAAAGAAAAAAAATGGTATTTCTGTTACTCTCAATTTCTCATGGCAACATTACTCCCTCTGGTGGTTTATACTATATTTGCTAAACTAATGTTCATATTGTACTATTAGACAGGTACTATATGAAAGCATCCTTTATTTAAAGCCATGTGCACAAGCAGAAAGCAAATGGGCTGAAGTTTGGTCTTTCTCTTTTAGGGCTTCTGATTTCTATCCGTCTGATTTTTAATTTTAACTTTGATGGCACTATCTCCATAATTAAGGAAGTTATGATGGATGAAGGGGTTTAGATTTATACAGAAAGCACAGCATACTCTACTCAAAGTTGCAGTACTCTGAGGTCAAAGATATTGTCAAAATAATTAAAAATAATAAATTCATTAAGTCACAACAAACTCTGACTGATCACTTCTCTCTTGGTTTACACTTTCTATAGAGAGAGTACAGTTAATACCCAAGGGTGCAGTATCTTCAGAACAAACCAGTTTTATGAACAGAGAAAAACTAGAATCTGGTCCCACTTGCTGACACTCATTAAGTGTTGTAGCCTTTGTCAACAACATTGTGGTGAGCTGACCTTGGCTGGCTGCTCTCCACTCCTGCTCCACAAAAAGCAGTGGGGTGGGGGAGAATGTAGTGAAAAAAAGCATAGGTATTAGATGAAGACAGGGAGATCATTTAAAAATTACTGTCATGGGCAAAGCAGACTCACTTGGAGAAAAATAATTTATTGCCAGCTAAAACAGAACGGGACAGTGAAAAACAAAGACAAATCCTAAAAGAACTTTCCCTTTGCCTCTTTGTTCCAGGCTCAACTTCAATGCTTTGTTCTCTACTCCTACCTCCTCCCTGCCCAAGTGGTACAGGGAAGATGGGGAATGGGGGCTGGGGCCAGACCCCTCAGTTCTTCTTTGCTGCTCCTTCCTCCCCGTGTTATTCCCTTGCTCCAGCATGTGTTCCTCACATAGGCTAGAGCTTAGGATAAGATTGCTGCAATGTGGGCTCTACATGTGCCCCCTCAACAAGGAATATCCACTTGCCCCAGTGCTGTGTCCTGCCCAGGCTGCAGGATATCTGGGCTGGCACTGTCCTCTATGAGCTCTGGGGAAATACCTGCTTTGATATGGCCTTTCCCTCAGGCTTCCAGGGAATTTCTGCTCCAAGATCTGCAGCCCTCCTCCTGCTCCTGCTCCCCTGACCTCAGTGTTAGAGCTGTTTCTCACACTTTTTTCCCTACACTGACCTGTGGCATTTTGCTCTTTTTTGGATGTGTTTTCCCTGAGGTGCTTTTAATAAAATTTGTCTTTATTGAATGATGGAAACACCAGTTAATATATATGCAGCTACTATTTACATTGTAGCTCACACACTCAGTGATTTTCTAAAATGGTTAGATGATTGCACAAAGTCTATTAGAGTCTGAAGAGGCAAGAGAGTAAGATCTAACAGCCATTAGACCAGTTTCTATCTTATAAAAACAAAATAGGAGCAGTACACATGTTGCTGCCCTGTTACAGTTATGTTGCCCTTCACAGGCTAAATACGAAACAGGTTTTCCAGCACATCTACACACCACTGACCAGTCCACCACGCCTATGAACAAGTAGGGGCACACATGGCAGTCTAAGAAATACTCAGGCAACTTTGTGTTTCAATGACTATCTTCAAAAACAATACAGACAGAAATAAACATGTCAACAAAAAAACCCCACCACTAATAACAACAGAGAAACCCTCTCAGAGAATTCAAATATATACCAAAACACTTGGCTAGTTTTTTGGAGGATGTTCTCATCACTTGGATAAAGGCTCTACAAAACTTTAGAAATAGTTTTCTAGTCAACATTAGGCATGTAAACTCAGAAGGAGAGGAATATGATGCCTGCAGAAACTACTTGTTATCAAACATGCATTTGAAAATGTCACTAACCGTTACGTCTGTCTATGCATTAAGGCTAAATTTACACTTTAGAGGTCTATAGTGCATAACATTAAAAGTTCATGACTGTTCATTTTACCAAATACCACTATGGTCTTATGGCAGTTTTTCTGAGTTATTACAGATGTTATCAGAATGTAAACCAATGTTTCCACTTGCATGTTCATATTCCACTGGTTTATTCAGCAAGGCTTAAATGGTACCCTTAGGGCTGAGATGAACTCCAGCATTTCTCTCTAGAGGCACCACAGCCAGTGACTGCAGCACTCTTTGGTGTTAGCAAAAAACTGAAAGAAGTTATTTTCTAACACATGACAAATCCCTTCTGTGATTGATCTACCCTAGCAGCCTAATCACAACCCATGCTTGGGAAAAAACCTCACACCTATTAAACACATCTTGAGTTACAGTTCAGTGATCATATTTTCTTGTCATGATTTTTTTTTTAAGTACTAAAAATATATAAGTTTTGTAATATTGTGGAACAAAGAGATGCTGCTTATTTCATTACTTCTTGGAAATCAGTTTATCCATGAAAAAAATAGAATGAAAAAAAAAATATGAAGCAGGATGCATTGCTTTAATGACTTGAATGTCTCTTTTCTGCAATTTTGATGGCTTCTGTACTACAAACTAAGAGGTAGTAACAATCAAATCAGAAAACAAAAAATAACATGAATCCTAAAGAAACTGTTAGCCCTTTCCCCCCAAAACCCCACAAAAGTCCTTCTGAAAACAGAAAAAGGCCCAACATTAAAAACCCCACCATCAGTAGAAAAAAAACCAAACCAGCACATAAACCTCTATTTTCTCATCTTACTATGAAGAATTAGGCTCCTAATCTACCATATTGTGCAGATAAGCCTGGGTGGAGACTCCCTCTATCAAGCAGGACAGACAATGCAAAATACAAATGAAAGATTACAGAAAACTGTGACATACCACAGACTATGTAGTAGCACAGCACTAGAAGGAAATTCCTGGGGCCAGGAACAAGACGATTCACAACACAATACTAATGTAAACAAAAATATAATTTTATGGAGTGAGTAAGCAAGAATAATTTATAAACGATCTGTTAAATAATATTTTTAATATGTATACAAAGAAAAGAAAAGCATTAGGGTCACTTATGTCAAGTTTGAGGTTTTAAGCTTGAGCCCACTGGACTAAAAACAAAAGCATGAATATATTTGGCTTTTTGTTTCTATTTTCTATAGGAATCTACAAGATGTTTATTTTAATATTTGCAAAAATAATGGTCAAATTTAGACCCAAATCATACAGAAAAATCCCCACAGTAATGTGGAAATGAAATGTGTTTCCTAAACAGTCGTAATATATTAATATTTTTTCAGAGATAGAAACAACACATCTACTCTTCCTACTCTACATTCCATAACATAATGATGATTTTTTTACAATGTTATTTTCAATGTTCTCTGTACTATGGTACATTTCATGGTACATTTCATTCATTTGAGTAGCTTGAATAAAGCTTTCAGCATACTGAAGAAGCTGTACTACTGAACTTACTAAGTCTCAAAAACCATTGACGTCTCACACGCACGAAACTTCATTAAAAACAGGAAGCTACTACCATGATAGCTGGGTGAAGATGCTCAGTGAAATGCAGTTAGGCAAGTCATCAAATTTGGTGAGTCATAAGCAAAGTTACATATATGTTCTTTGAGATGCTCTTTTTTTTGTGCACGTCTGTATGTAAAAGAATATGGGTGGTTTTGTCCAGGTCTGTTGAATTCTACTCTATAAATTAAGACTAGATTAACTACTAGATTGTCATTATTCAGTGATGCAGCCTTCAGACCGTTACAGTTTCTACAGAAAGTAAGATGGATTTATTACTGCTACCACAATATTACTATTCTGCAATTGTTTGCAAAACAAATAGGAAGTTATAACACAAATCCAGACAATTCTTAGACAATGGTTTAATCTAGAAAGCATCTGTTCCTAAACATCAATAAAAATTAAAATGTCACTGAATTATTAATTATTTTGAGACTGAATAAATTAGACCTATGCTACATTTCACCCAACACTTCTCAACAAAAGACTGTGCCAATACAATAGCACTAAGTGGGACAGCTCATTTTAAAGAAAGTCTTTTACCATGTCATTAATTTATAAATCATTTATTTTTCTATAGTTTGTTCATGACAATAATTTTAAAGACCAAAACAAATGCTCAATTTTTGTTCAATTTTAGGTAGAGATTCAACTTCTTATATGCAACTCTCCTTACATGACTTGTATCAATTGCAAAGTTACTCCAAACTACCTATTTTCATTTCAATAGCCTTTCATTCCAATTTATTAATTTACAGCAATTCACAGAAGATATCCAAAAAATACTAATATTGCAGAAACGAAAAATGTTTAAAAGGTAGAGGATGCTATAGCTGGTCTTAAGAGAATATTTTGACTAATATAAGCCCATTTTTACAATCTGTAACCACCTAGGCAAACCGATCTGCCTCTTTTCCTTGAATGCATTCATCAAGTGCAGATCCAGGATATTCAGTCCTCACAAACAAGCAACCTCAATCACCAGGTATCAAACAGCCAACACAGTAAAT